TCTAGGACTGAAGTAATGCAGGTTTGAACACGCCGCACCACGGGCATACAGGATATTTTGAGAGTCGCAGTCAAAGTGTTAAGTGAGATGGTAGAGTCTAACCTTAACCTTATCCCCTAACAAAACCATAAACATGAGCCTACTCCTAACTCTAAATGTTTGCTCTAAACGTAAAGTCTGGACGCCAACTGTAAATTCCATCTTTAAATGCTGGCCCTAACCAAAACCCTAACACCGAACTTCTTACCATCGATAAAATGTGGTGCTGTTGGTCTACTGAAACCAAAATAAGTAGTCGTGTTATATTAATAAAACCCTTGGGATAGATAAATCCGGAGACGATACTACTGTTCTGAAGGCCTTCTCCTAAACAAATTTTAGTCAGAGAGAACCTTCCATATCGGTCAATTCTAACCTAAAAAATTACTATTGCCTGCACTGAAACTAGTCAGTCAGGAAAGGGCAATGTTTTCCAAATTCCCATCCCAAGTGAGGTCTTCACCTACTAAAGCAACATTTTAAATCCACCCAAATCTCATTTGCAAGATACATTTTGTCGCTCAATCCCTCCTTATCTTTCCACAGTGAATCTCCGCTTATAGAGCAAATAGCCGAATTTTCTAACTAATCACGTTTACGAGGAAATTTTTTCCTTCCTTTGTAAATTGTACATTGTTCAAAGTCCACAAATATTTGAGAGGTGTTTTAAATTAAAAAAAGTGAACAGAAGATTGCACTCTGGTTCGAACATGAGGCAAGCTCCAAGTCAGTCTCAAAGTCGTAAAAAAGGCCCGAAAGCTCGGCTGTCGGTTTCGACTATGTCTAACGCGTGCATTAGCAATCAGAGGGCATACGCGGTGACTGGCAAGCGGATTAGTTTAAAGTGATAGTAGACTTGCGCGGCATTTACTGCACTCTCTCTTCTCTCAGCCGCCTGTACCCCTTGTCAACAAAATTTCAAGAAGACCGGATGCGGTGTCGGGCGCAAATGGCTCGCGAGACCGAAGCGACCACTATGCGTACAACCACGCCACACTCCTCCCTCCCCTCCCCATGTTCGGTGGTTGTGATCGGAGCGCAAACTTCATAATGCCTATCGTACTCTGATCTGGCCTGATCTGATTCAGTGCATCTATCACGCGGCCCATTCGGGGGGCACAGGCTCGGGAAGCCCAATGACTCGGACGCCGTCAAGATTGCGAATTGAGGCATCAGTAGTTAATTATGGCGTGTCGATAGGCGATTGACGAGACCGAATTCAAACTTTGAAACCTCTCTTTTAACTACACACTTCGTTAAAAAGTTGTAAATTTAAGTTACTGGCACTTGCAAGCAATTAAGGCCATACAAGCATGCTTAAATAGGGGAATAAAAGCGGCAAGGGAAAAGAGGATAAACGTAAAATGGGAAGAAAGCTACTGTTGGCTATTAACAGCGACAGGAAGTTAACCTTTGACAAAAGGAAGCTAAGTTTTGGAAGTGAAGATGCTACCCCTTCAGAGTCGATTAGCGGTAAAATTTTCGATTG